TTGAATTTGCCGATATAAAATAGGTGCGATAAAATTCTATTTATATATTTCTTTCCTTGCCAAAGTTTTTGTCCGTTTTTATCACACCTCCATGCCGGTCGCATTGTGCGAGGTCAGGTTTTACAGTGGACCAGTTTCCAGTGCCGTGCAGAAGTATATTTTTAAATCATTTTCGAACTGCCCTTTTTGATTTTTTCTTTACAAAATTGTATTTGTAAGGGTCCACTGTACATCCAGAATTTTTTTTTGGATAAGTTCTGAATCATCCTGTATAAAAACTGTTAGCATGTGAATTTTTCTATCGAATGATTCTTGATATAGAGAAAGATTTATTCTCATGACTGAAATAAGCATGTTGAATTAGAAAATCCACCATTAAGCGCGCTCAGAGGGTGGAATCATCCCAAAAAATAGAGAATATCAGAAATAATTGTAAAAATTCCAAAAAATTATATTAAGATAATTCAGATGCTAATAGTTTTTATATCAATTGGTAATATTCAAATTCTTCATTTCTGGCATTTTTGCAACCCCTAAGTAGGGGTGATTTTTTAAATTTTCAAAATACTAAAAACTATGCTCATTTCAGTTTTTTACGACAAGTAATTTGCGACCAAAAACATATTTTTATGTATTTTTTTTTTTAATTCTCTGTGAATTGTGAAAAAACGGGCGAAAATCACAAGTTTTTTGCGGTCAATCCTTCTTTCGACGAAAATGGATTATCGCCCAGTACAAAATTTGAGCTCTTTCTGTTATAGATAGATATTAGTGTTAGTACACAAAAAGTGTTTATACACGCCAAAAAAAATTATGAAATAAGGCCGCTATTTTCAGTTTTTCAACAATATTTCAGAAACGGCAGCAAATATCTTTGATCTGTTTGGTTTATTTTAATGGTCCTGAAAAGGCGCAACTTTTTCTAATCTGAATCACCCTGATATCTTACGCTTTCTCAGATGCTAATGGTGAGCCGTGAAAAAAGGACCACCCTGTATACCTTTGTATCTTTTTTAAAAAACGATTAAAATTATTTTTAGTAACCAAATGTTTTTATACCCTGTGTGAGTTTTTTGCGACTTGTTTTATACAGTTTGTATTTGTCTAAAACAAAATAAATAATAATAATAATAATAATAAATGAATAAATTTAATTTTAACATTTAAAAACAACTTTGATTTCGATTACGTGGGCATAATATTGAAAAGATTTGTAGGAATATTATATGCTGCCCATTTATCTTTAAAATTACGTATCTTTATCACGTAAAATCATCACGAAATTGTTTTTTTTTTTCAGAAAAATTCCCTGTGTCTTATCTCGTGGATGTTTTCCATTACCATATTGACCTTTCCTGAGGCTGGCATGGTAATATACATGAGCATTCAGTATTGGGTAAGTTTCACGTTTGTTACTTTTACCTACTGAAACGAAGGCCGCTTATTGGAAACGTTTCGCAATACGCGTTGCAACTAATCAGCACTCTCGTCTACACAATGCTAATTATTGCATTGTAAAACTGCAAATTCTAAATAGCAGCAACGTAATACGCATTATTTAAAACTAATTAAATTAGTTCATTCTGCATTATTCAGAATATAAAGTCAATAGTGGCAGCTACATTCCAAGTCCAAAACAGTAGGCGTCGATTCCATAGGCGTGCCATTTCAGAAGGTTCCAAAAAATTGTTAACTTTTTCACCATAAGCAAAAATAGAATTAGGCACTTTTAAAATTAGACACTATGCAAAATAAACGACACATTAAAATCTCCATGTAGAAAATACACAAAATTATTTTATCAGGGTATCTTCTCAAACAATCAATCCATATTTTTTCTCATTTTAGAGGATAGAAAGCCTCTACGGCGTAACGGAGCTGGCCTGTTGGCTGATTAGGATAGTCGTTAATGTGATAGAAATAATATTGATCCAATCTCTCTACACCATGTGGAAGGACGAGGAGTTAGTGAATAAGAGATTAAGAGACTTGACCATGGCAGCCGTACCCATTTCGAGGGAAAACTTACCCCCTCTTAATAGCCAGTACTACCAAAACAACGGATACGATCACTCTGTGGAGCAGATCAACGCAACTTTAAGTAGGTGAGTGAAGAAAATCCGGTTCGAAGGACCAAATCAAGTTCTTAAAATATCCGGCTCGACGGACCAAATATTAAGATCTTAGAATGCATAATTTCATGTTTTAGGTATGGTTCAACACCGCACTTGTGGGCTGGTCCCTTACCCAACAACATGATTCCGTTACCCATCGACGGGTACCAGTTCTGTACTACCCAAAGCGAATTCAACGCGAGCATTTTCGTTCCTAATATTATAAATAACGACATGGCAGGTAGGTTCTAGTATAATTTACACCTTTTAGTGGACTAAACAATCTACGATTGCAGTTAAAAAAGCCCAGTCCTTAATGGACTTACGCTTCTTAGAAGAAAACACCATGGTCGGCGAGAAACTGGGAGACCAAGTCCAACCCTGGATGTCCGAGTCGATAACAGAAACCAGCAGCGCCATCATTCCAAACTACAGGGTGTCGCCGGACACAAAGACTAGTCCGCGATTGACGAAGTGTGCCTCGGTAGACGCTCTGAACGAAATTAACAAAGGCGGGCATATTATACGGAACAGGACCGGTTTCTACGCGCAACCAGTGGCTAATTACGGGGTGCCCATCTATTACGGTCCCCTAGACGGGCCGGACTTCTTGATTTATAAGAAACAGGTGGATAGGTTGACGAGTAAGAATTCGTTGAGTAACGCATCGGCGGATGACGTGCAAAAATACAGGGACGTCGCTCTTTAGAACAACGATGAAATTAGGTGTCGTTAGTAGAGCTCGGGAACAAGCGGCTCGTGACAGAACCGGACTTAAAAGTGTGATTGTAAATCGGTAAATTTGTTGATCTCGAAAACGGTTGGTTTTTTGTTTTTTTTTCAAATAATAGAGCTAAAATCAACATTTGAGATAAGGGTTATTACGAAAAACTCAATTTCCAAAATTTTTATATAAAATTTTGATATTTTAAAAGATTTACCCAAATACGTAGATTGCCCATCATTTCCTAGACACTATAAATAATTACCCCACACCAAAAAAAAAGTTGTATGTACTTTTCATGCGACACATGTTATCTGTAATATTTTTACCTCCTGATGGTGAATCCGTTGTCAGAATTGAGCTATCACATCACAGGAATTTCCTAACCTCAAAATAGAGGGCACAGCAAAAATTCACGAAAAAGTGCTAGGAAAAATATTTTTTTTTTTTTGTATATTCAAATGTTCATTTATATGGTTAAGACCCCGGCGAACGTGAATCCGCGGTCAGAATTTATGGTTATTTTTCTAACCTCAAAAAAAAAAACGGATCAATTAAGGTCAGATATCATGAATTTTCAAAAAATAAGATTCGCGCCAAATTTGATATACCGGGGTTTGCGGGATCGCTGATCACGAATTCAAGGTCAATTTTGCAAAATTCAAGATGGCGGATCCAAGATGGCCGACCAAATTTTTAAAAATGACAGATTCCCACCAAATTTGGTATACCGGGGTTTGCGGGATCGCTGATCACGAATTCAAGGTCAATTTTGCAAAATTCAAAATGGCAGCCTACCAAATTTTCAAAAAATAACATTCGCGCTAAATTTGGTATACGGGGGTTTTCGGGGTCACTGATCACGAATTCGAGGTCAATTTTGCAAAATTCAAAATAGCGGCTGACCAAATTTTCAAATAATAACACATTCGCGCCAAATTTGATATACGGGAGTTTTCGGGTCGCTGATCACGAATTCGAGGTCAATTTTGCAAAATTCAAGATGACGGCCGACCAAATTTTCAAAAAATAACACATTCGCGACAAATTTGGTGTACGGGGGTTTTCGGGGTCACTGATCACGAATCCAAGATCAGATTTACAAAATTCGTTTTTAAAAATTTAATTACCTATGTACTTTATTACCTGAAATTAGGCAGAAAACCCATGAATAGATCTTTTACAGAAAAAAGAACAAGATATAGTCGAAAAAAAAGGTTAAAACATGATTGGGTACTCTGGTTATAAAGTAAACAAAAATATTACAAAATGAATTTCGCAATTTGCTGCGAATTTGTTACTTTTTGAAAATTTGGCCGGCCATCTTGAATTTTGCAATATTGACCTCGGATCCGTGATCAGCGATCCCGAAAACCCCCGTATACCAAATTTGGCGCGAATGTTATTTTTTGAAAATTTGGTCGGCCATCTTGTATCCGCCATCTTAAATTTTGTAAGATTGCTATTTTTGATCAGTTTTTCGAGGTTAGGAAATTCTTGAGATGTGGTAGCTCAATTCAGACAACGAATTCGTGATCAGGAGGCAAAAATACTACGCGTGAAAGGTACAGACAACTGTTTTTGTGTGTGGCTGTGTTATTTAAATATGCAGTGACAAATTACAGTACTAGAAGAAATTGAGCATTGAAAAAACATCCAGTAAACAACTGAAATGAAATTTGAGTACCTATGACTCTATTACGAGTCGCAGCGACCGAACGCTATGAATAACGTCTAGTGAATAACTGGAATGAAAACTGAGTACAACTCTGTTAGGAGCCGCATTGCCCGAACTCTAATGATTAGATATTGAAAAAGGCATTATTAAAGATAAATTGTGGACTGTGATGATGTCCAAGATCAATTCTATTTGTGTTTTAGAACTTTTGTATATGACAGGCAATAACCTTGAATGGGGGTCATATTTATGGAGACAATATTTGTTCTTTAAAAACACACATAACTTTACTTCCTCGGATTCCGCCATGAGAACCGATTTCTTAACTTTTTTTTTTGGTAATTTTCATGCCCCGTCGCTGGACAAGCAAATTAAATAAATATAATAAAATATCAAACGATAAATATAATCGGCCATTTTCGTTTCACCGAATTAACGTTGACCGTATGTTTTTTTGCCCCCTAGCACCCTATTGTCATATCACATCACGTGTATATTATGCAGTTCACCCTAAACTAGGTCATTGACACTGTGATTCACAAACTAAACGCAGTGCTTTAAAAAATGCTTCGGCCGCATCGACATCAAAAAAATGGTGACTATAACGATCTGTTTTTACAAAAAGGTAACAACTGGCAACACCGATAAGCGCGCACATAAACCGAGTCCGGGAACTGTCCAGTAACGGCGTAGACAATAGTTTACTTGTTTAAAAAACAAATTATAAATTCGACTATTTTCATAATAGTACTCTGGGGAACCTATACTATTACCCCTAAAAAATTGACCCCTACTTGAAGTTACACCCTGTATTTACATATTCGTTGAAACTTTTGCTCAAGAATCGTTTAAGAAATTTTGTCGTATCGTCAAACTATTATCCTCGTAGCGCCCCTGCAAAAACTTGTAAATAAACTAGATAATTCATTACAAATAATATATTTCTATCATTAACATGTGAAACTGACTGTATTTATAATGTATATATTTTTATAAATAAATTTTATACGTCTACTTTTTCTATAAACGTAATCTACTCCATTACGACTCTACTTGTGGAAAAACCTGTATGGTTAATTTTAAACGATCCCATTTAGTTCACTGCAGAAGCCCATGGAGGAGTCATCGGCTGTGGATTTTGTAAGTATGACATCACTATTGCAGAAATCGATAACATAAACGAACTCAAAATCTATAAAAAAAAACATTTATAAGGAGTATTTTAAAAAATTTAATGCACTGTAGATTGCAAACTAAATGCAACCCGCAACACAGACAAACTAAAAGGTAATTTATAATTTACTTTCTCTATTAGGTATAGTCTTTCCGAAGTCAGTTGAACATGGATAAAAACGCCTAGCAATAAAATTTAATGAATTTCATAGGCGTCCCTAAAAGTTTTCTGATAAAGGTAAAAAAGTATAATAATTTGTTGGACATGTGCCGCGAACATGTCTGCTGGACATGTCCATCGAACATGTCGTGAAAAGAGGACATGTCCTGTGGGCATTTTTCTAGATTGAAAAATTGCATTCATAATTCCCGCAAAAAATTTTTGAGGTTGGTACATGTAAAATTAAAGATATTTAACCATTTTCTTGTAATTTTGTTGGTAATTTAACTGCAACTGACATTTTAAAAATATGTCCATATTTTATTATTTTTGGCAAAGTTAACTATTAGTAAATAGTAATCAGCTGATTCTTAATTTAATATTTAATACATAAATAGTTTATTAATGAAGTATGACGCCAAAATCAACAGTTTGGTTATATTTTTCTGAATTAAGTAAAAATCATTCTGCTCAAAAATATTTTTTAAGAATTCCAGAAGAATGGAAAAACATTTAAATTAGTGTATTGGTTATCCGGGGAAAATTAGAAACCAGTTTATAAAAAAGTCTAAAAGTAGGTAATAAGTAAAATATATCGACACATATTCATTAGAATAAAGGTAATATTTTGCTTTGTGTACCCTTAAGTAGTGACCTGTGAAAACAAGACGTCACTCATAGCTCATAGGTGCCTTATTAGATTCAAGGTCAAAAGTACTTTTCCCGACATGTCCGGACATTTCATCGACATGTCCGTAACACACTTTTCCGAAAAGTGCCCATCTCTATAATTTGTATATAATGTGTAAAAAATTTCTATATATGTTCATTTGGCCAACAATATACTTACAATATATATTGTAAATTTCGTTTTGTTCCGTTTCAAAAGGTCTCCAAAATGCCATGTTGTAATATTAATAAGCAAAATATCCCTCTTATTTCTCCCTTTCGCAATTATAATATGAATGATTAAGGTGAAGGTGCCTATAATATATTAAAATTACCTAAACCACACCAAATTCCGCATTGCTGCACTGCACTGCTAGGCAATTTGTCAACAACTAAGGTTTATTGCCCAGTCGCCCAGTGCAGCTGTTATACGCCGTTTGCCCCCGCGCGCTTCTACCACTTCCACATTTAGTTCGATCAGACCTGTATATGGGTATGGCTAAATAACTATTGGAACAAACTACTGCCAACCTCCTTGATTATTCAATTGAGATCGGAAAGACTACACTTCCAAATGTATTTTTCGAAAAAGTTTTATATCATTTATTTACCTGTTTTGTATCATCTGATAATCTGGAATTTGCGAAACTAATACAAGAACAGTAGAGGGCTACCCAAGCACACCATTTTAGCCGCATCATAAGACCACACATGCTAAATATCATACCTGAAAAATATTTTTTTGTTTTAACGACAAATAACATTAAAACAAATTATTAGTACGAGGGTTGCCTTTTATATTTCGGGAATAGAGAACAAAAAAGAAATTAATCATCGTATACGGCTCTAGAGCTTTTCAAAATATTCTCCATGAAAATCAATACACATTTGCACGCGCTTGAATCAATTTTCGAAGCACTTTTTCCATTCCAATTGAGGTACCTCCAAAACATGCATTTTAAACGCATCAACCGCTTCGAAAAACGTTGATCTATTTTATTTTTGATGCGCGGGAATAAAAAGGAAGTCACTGAAAACAACGTCGGTTGTCAGATGGCAGCACCAGGATCGTCCATTCCCGAAATATAAATGGCAACCCTCGTATATATTTTAAAAGCTTAACCTAAATATTATACACTTGAAATGAACACATATTTAAAAAAATATATGGAGAAAACAAAACATCGAAAAATGTTCAGTAATATTTATTTTATAATTTCATATATTTGTAATGGTGTAATAAAATATAGATTAGCCTAGTGAAATCCAATAATAAACGCATCTCGTAAAAAATAAATAATACAACACAACAGTTACAAATATTCGTACCTCAGTAGAGATGTGGTAGAATACTGGAGATAGATTGCAATATCAGTGTATTCCACTTAAGTGTAACCAAAATGTTGAACGAAATTTACAAATAAGTGAAATGTGCTGAACTTAAAGCTACGCCTATTCACAAACCGTAAATTTTAGATTATTTTCGAAAATATTATACATTTAGTCACACCAGTTTCCAGTTTCTTAACACCTAGGAAGATAACCAATTTTCTAAACACACAAAGATGTTACCTACACTATCAATATACCCAGACATGTTCAGCAGCTTTAATTCTATGAATATCAGAAGTGGGATAAAGCACGTAATATACAATTCTAGATTTTTAGAATAATAATTATATCAGAAAAAAATAATTTCTTTTCTACTGTTTTTTGACTACAGTACAACACAGCATTG